GACTTTAGGAGGGCGTTTAAACATTCACTCCTTTTCTACCGTATTCCTCGCACCAGGTCACCTGTTACGCTATACGAAAAGTCGATGAGGGCTTTAACGGAGGGAGTTGTCGGAAGGCTAACCTTGATCAGTCCGAGCTGTTTTTTGGATCCAGCATGTCGAGGCTGCCTCGATCAGATGTTCAGCAAAAGTTCAGTCCCTCATGTTTTCTTGCCGCACGGTCGCGTCTTTGTGTTGCAGTTGGATCCTTCTTGCGGAAATTAGGTTCGATGTGACCTTAGCAACTCGGTCTTCAATATCCGTTATCGACTACGACCAGAAGACAAATGGACGGCAATGGCTCATTCAGAGGGTGTATCGACAAAGTCAAAGGAGACTCGGTGACCATCCGTGACTTACAAACCGTCATCAGCCAGCCCCCTGGACCCCGAGTTTTGATAATTTGAGATTCGAACCCGAATTATTTGGCCACTGCGCCCGGGGCCCCTTGTCCTGTCGGTTGTGGTTGGGAATATTGACCAACGTGCGAAAGACGTTCGCCGATCAGGTTGGGGGAGGGCATGTTTGTCTTGTTGCGCCTTGGAGGCGCAGTCTACAGCCCTCGCAGGCCACTACTGATGTTGGGAGGAACGTGTCGGCAAAGGCCAGATAGACTGGTATGGCCATTTTTGACTTATTGGTCTTCGTAGATTAACCATATCCAAGTCCATGTTTGCACGATTTGGGACTCCCACTCGGGTTCGTTATGTACTGAGCGTCAAGTCCAACGCCCCACGGGATTGGCCTCCCCGTAACCTGATCGGTGGACGTCCTTTCCACAATTGCTGGCTTATTTCCCCTCTCCTGGCCGCAGTGCCCACCCCACCCCCCGGCCAGTACTACCTCAGACTGCACTCCGGACTCAGCTGGTCATTGAGTCTGTCACTGTACCGTTCGAGACACGGGCTTACATCCCCTCAATCGCGATTGGTATCATTCGAACTTTCGTAGACGTGTCCCCTACTGGTCTGGCGTATTTCAAATACAGGCGTCTCGTTTTGCCCTATAAATCCACCTTGAAGTCTTGTCATGTGGCTTCATAGCCAAGAACAGTCTGTAATACAGCATTTTACCACAGAAGACTAAGATGCTCAGCCCTGTCTTATTTGCCGAGTTGGGAAAGTGTGAGATCTGAACCTGCGTAAGTTTGATCAGTAGGCTCGGGCTGTTAGACAACAGACTCATGCCCCGTCATCTACGGTCGGTGATATTCAACGTTAGGAGCGGCGTCCACTAACCTAGCCTGACTGCAGAATGAGATACGACCACTATTTGGAGTTCCAGTGCCAAGTAGCACACTGCATTCCGTCCAATAAGCGAGTTAAGTTGATGAACGTCACTCCCAAATGACTCCATGGCCGATGTGTTACCTCGCTCTGGTATTGTCTCTTAGGTATGGTTACAAACACTTGATCCTTTCATAACTTCATTTCTAAGCGGCCATCCGTCAGCCTACTATTATACCAGCTCCAAATGGTACGAATTTTAGTACAGTCCTGTGGGGCCACACGGAAGCGCGGAGTCAACTAGGAGTGACAGTCTTCACACCAGGCGCTAACTCGGTGCGACCCATAGTTTGCTCCGCACAGACCATGTCGAAACACCCTTCCGGGGACATAAATACGCTGCCCACTGACACAACTCCCCACTCCTTCCCCTCCTTGTTTATGCGTTCACAACAAAGTAACCATCTTTTCAAGGTGACCGTCACTCGATTTATCGGTGCAGCTCCGATCAAGCACTGCCAGGGTTTCTGGTGAACCTGCACTCTAAACAATGGTAGTGGTGGTGGTGGTGGTGGTGGTGGTGGTGGTGGTGGTGGTGGTGGTGGTGGTGGTGGTGGTGGTGGTGGTGGTGACTTGGTCAGTTTTGTGGATTTTACTGCCAGTTTCGCCTCACTATTGTCCCTTCTTGACTTTCAGCGAACTCGCCTCCAGACTGGCCAATTCTGGCGTCTCTGTGCTGATCTCTGACCCAGCAGTCAACCGAACCTCACCACCAGACATCAGTGATCACCAGTCACAACAGGGCCTAGTCATCCGTGTCTTTCGTTCTGTGGGACGGGGTTTTCTTAACCTTGGCCATCTTTTCACCCGTGTGCTGCCCAAACGCATCGCTTCGACTGAGTTTATGTGTGTGTTGGCTGAACCGCCGGCTGTGGAGTTGACAGGCGCACAGACAGCAGTCGCGGGTGCGCCCGTCTACCAGAACCTTCAGCGCTGCCCTGCCTGGAGCCCTGAGGAGGACGCCCAGCGGAAAAAAGCGCGCAGCCTTCTTTGGGCGCTGAGTGAACGCTGGGTCCGACTGGATACGCACCCAGAGCCCGTTCCGCTGCCGCCGCGTTTCGGTTAGCCTATCTTCGGACATTTCATAGGGAAGAGAAACTCGGAGCTAACCCTCTGTAGTCTGTAGTTTTCGTTTGACCCTGACCCTACTTCTTCCACATTTGCCTCTCACCAACGTCCATTTCTGTATTATTTTATATAAATATATATAAAGTCTTACTGGTCTCTTGTGATTATGTACGGAAGGGAACAGTATGGAACGTTAACGGTGGGTGTTTTGAGTGTTCTGCAATGACGTAATAGCGAATCAGCCAATCGCCGGTCCGTATTTCATTTGTTGTCTATTTTCAGGGGTCAGTAATGCTCTCAGGTATGAATTAGTCACCTTTCTAAGTTGACAGCTACAGCAAAGACCTAGTCACACAAAGGAGGGAGGTCTTTTCCACTTTAATCACTGGTGTCGTACACACTCCGCAGATGCTGTCCGTAGCACCGGTGTCAAACCGTGGTGACCGCTCCACCTGACGGCTGAAACCAGGCCATGGTATCCAGTGAATCTATCCGGGGTCGGCGGATTTGTGTCCCAAACGTCGCTCGGTTGTGGGCGAGGGGTCGACCACGTGTCATTCGTAGGCAAGACTAGGCGTTTCTACTGTCGTCTTGATTTAACCCTGCCGTTGGATGCGATGCCTGGGGGAAAGAGGTGACTGGGGCTATCGGCGGTAGAGGTCATCGCGAGGACTTTGACCTCGTCGAGCCCCGGAGGGTTTGGTCAAGTCTCCTCGAGTCAGTCGTGATTTGAGGGTTGGCGACATGCATCCTCGCTAATGCTGTGTGGTCCTCCACCCGCGTCATGGGTGCTAAACACACAAGGAGGGCAGTATTCCAGAAGCGGATGAGATCGTTGGAAGGGGAAGTCTATCGGCCCGACAATGAATTCTTCCTCAATTACATCATTCGACATAGTCTGAAGAAAGGTGTAGTGCTTACAGATTACAGTCGCTACTTCACCACACACCGTCTGTGGCGAAGTCAGAGGCCGCTAATCTTAGCAGGCAATAGTATGGCGGCCACTGTGCGTCAACTGTCCTTATCTGCTGCTGTCTTTAATGATGTAGGCAGAATGGCATTACTGACAAAGAGAAGGGAGACTGGAATGGCCATTTCTGGCTTATTAGCCGTCGTCGGCCAGTCAAACCCGACGCCGAAGTGTGCAACACCTGGGGCTCGAACTCGCGACCTGTTAGTTAGAAGTCCAACGCCTCTAACCACTGGGCCACGGGCCCGTTGTCCTGTCGGTTCCGATCGGGAATATACAATGATGGAGGGGCGCTCACCGATAGTTATTATAGAACTCACTCGTCCTGTTGTACTTTACGGGCTCAAGTTCGGGGTTGGTAAGAATGGCTGACGACGGCCAATAAGCCAGAAATAGCCATTTCAGTCTCTCTTGTCTTTCTCGGTTATAATATTCTGTCTATATCATGCACCGCCCTGCGGCTGCTGGTTGGGCTCGAGAGAGTGAGAGAGAGAGAGAGCCCGTAAGACACAACGGAACGAGCGAGTTCCGTAAGAACGATCGGTGAGTGGCACTCTACCACTGTCTTTAATGACGGATTTCAAGCGCGGGAGGTGATCGAGTCTTTCCAACTGCTTACTGTATCTCCCCCTTCGCTTGTGTCGGATAGGCAACTACTGGTGCATTTTCATTTACAGTAAACCCGAAATGAGCTGCGAAGATTCTTGCCAGGCAACCTCTTTAGCGATCCATTTGATAAGTATTTCGCTACTTCGTTTATCCCCTTTTTGTCTTTCTGGACTTTAAGTTCGTAAGCGGCTCCTCAGTCCTTTTGCTGTCATCGACAACTCTGCAGTTTCATCGACTTTTCTCCGTGAAAAGAAAGCCTCAAACTCCTCGCCTGACATCAAATTGACTCCCCTGGTCTAGCCTAGTGCCACTGAAACCATTAATCTGCCATGAGACACAGAACACAGCCTAGCCGTATTACATGTGCGTCGCTCGTAAACGGGAGCTTAAACTCCTGTCAGAAAAATGTCAATCCCGGAAGTTCTGAATCGCATGCTTTTTTTGCCTCCCCCTCCGCTTTATTCCTTCAACCTGCGGAAGTATTTAATTTAGAACCACGCACAGAACATGTTATGGTCTAGCAGTTTATCACACGGCTTTTAAAATGAGACGCGCCTTATTGCACATTCTATGAGCATTAGTTCACAATTCATGTCATGCCCCGTTAAACCTAGGATAGAACCACAACAAATCTTGCGCTTTGCAAGCAAGCGTAAGAAACCTGTGACCATTTCTTAAAGACGACTTCTTGAAATACTGATTTAAACATTTTCGGAAGAGAAAGCGTTCACCGGTGAGCCGTTTCTCCATTTTCGCAACTCTCGACATTGCCACTTTGATTCAAATATTTCAAAGAAGACGCGATTTCCTACCAATCACGTATGAATAACAAAGAAGTACGTCTTGAAGAAGAAGACACAATCGCCGGGATAAGAGCTTTACTAGCCTGACGTTTCAGATTCCTGCTCGAATCCATCATCAGCGACAAAAGCCGATAAGGGTGGTTCATGTATATGGAGCTGTAGTATTTATGGGATGCAGTAGCCATGCTACCGCATACCTATGAATATTCACGGCTCCTCCCTTGATCAGGGATCGTTGCACGTGGCGTGATGGCCGACATTCGCATCGTTAATTGCTTCAATTTCATCACGTGCGTTGGATGTTGGTGTGATGATTGCTCGACCATCTGACGCGCCGACCCGGGCGTTGGGAAGAGTGTTCACCTGTGCGCTCCCCGCGTGGCTAATTACTCCGCCTAGGCGAAGTCTCAGCACGGAGTATTGAATGGGAAGATCATTGCATTTGTTAATAGACTGGGGACCAGTAAACCATGACTCAAGCAGCTCCCGGCTCACGCGGTTGTCACCTCTAGCGGGAATTTCGGCCTCGTCAAATTTGAATGTGTGACCGGAACCCGTCGAATGAGCCGCAACTTGAGAGCTGACGTCATTTCTCAGCACCGCTGCAGCGTGTTCGGCCATTCGCGTTTGGAGTTGTCTTCCGGTTTCTCCGACGTAGTTGCTTTGTCCGCAACTGCACCAGATCCGATAAACGACTCCAGACGTTTCTTGCCGTGGCAGTGGGTCTTTCGGTTTCATTAACTGACGTCTGATTGTTGCCTCCGGTCTGTGGTGCGGGAAGGCGGCCAACAGCTTCCGAAACGTTCTTGACATATGGAAGCGCTCACCAAACTTTGGTGTCCGTGCGGTTAGGCCTTTCGTCCCTTTTGCGTATGCACCGGTTGACAAGGTTGCGCGGGTAGCCATTGGCTTTGAAGACCCGTCGGAGGTATTGTAGTTCGGCAATCTTGTCTTCCGGCTCACTGCAGTGCGTTCCGACACGCCAATAGAGAGTCCTTACACAGCTGCGTTTGTGGCTGATTGGGTGGTTGTTGTTTAAGTTCAGTACTGGCATCGTATTTGTCGCTTTCCTGAACACTTTGATCTTTAGCCTACCACAATCCTTGCGACATACGAGGACATACAGGAAGGCCAGCTGGTTGTTCTCTTCCTCCTCCATCGTAAATTGTATGTCCGGGAAGACCGCATTCAGACGTTCCTTGAATGTCAGCAGTTGGTCCCAATCGATAACGACGAAGGTATCATCCACATACCGGGCGGAAAACTTCGGTTTGTAGTGTTGGAAGACCAGCGACTCAAACCGTTGCAGGACTGTGTCGGCGATGAACCCCGAAATCGGCAAACCGATTGGTGTGCCCTTCACCTGTTCGTAGATTGTCCCGTCGAACGTGAAGTACGTCCTGAGACAGAACTTGAGGAGCTGAAGGACTTGGGCGCGTCCAAGACGATTCTCCCTTTCATCGTATTTGTTTTGTAGAAGCAGCTCGATTGTCTCGATGGCCAGGTCCTGGGGAATAGAAGTAAAAAGGGATGCAACACCAAAAGATGCCATGACCTAATTTGGATGAAGGCTTGCCACTTTGAGTTTCTCCAGGAATTCTGCTGATGAAGAGACCGCGATGTCTGACTCAGCGGTCAGGAACTTGAGGCACCGAAACGGTCGTTTTGCCAGTCCGTGCGTTGGAGTGCCTTTGAGCGATACAATGGGCCGGAGAGGAACGCTTTCTTTGTGCACCTTGGGCAGACCACAGAATCGGGCCAAAGCCGTATCTTGGGGTCTCGCCATGCGTCTGTCGATCGGTGTTATTGCACCTGAGTTCCCCAAGGTATCATTAATTTCGCGTGTCAGCGCTTTTACAGGGTTCGTTGCACACGGGACACCACCCGGCATCAGTTAATGAAACCGAAAGACCCACTGCCACGGCAAGAAACGTCTGGAGTCGTTTATCGGATCTGGTGCAGTTGCGGACAAAGCAACTACGTCGGAGAAACCGGAAGACAACTCCAAACGCGAATGGCCGAACACGCTGTCAATTTTTTCGTAGATGAGTCAACTTGCGTATTCGTATCTGCCAAAAGACACTTTTTAAAATAACAACTACTAAAAGAAGCTGATTGTTTTCAACAGTGGGATTCTCTTGTAGCGCTGACAATTTTCCACCTATAGTCGTCCGGTCGGGCAGGGGAATATAGATCACCAATGGTAGAGGGACGCTCACCGATCGTTCTTACGGAACCTACTCGTTCCGTTAAGCCTTACGCGCTCTCTCTCTCAAGCCCAACCAGCAGCCGCAGGGCGACGCATGAGATAGGCAAAATGTCATTACCGACAATGACAAGGGAAACTGAAATGGCCATTTCTGGCTTATTAGCCGTCATCAGCCAGTCATACCCAACCCCGAAGTGTGGAATCCCTGGGGCTCGAACTCGCCACCTGTTAGTTAGAGGTTCACGGCTCTAATCACTTGGCCACGGGCCCGAGTCCCAGTGGTTAGAGGCGTTGGACTTCTAACTAACAGGTCGCGAGTTAGAGTCCCAGGTGTTCCACAATTCGGGGTCGGGTATAACTGGCCGACGACGGCCAACAAGCCAGAAATGGCCATTCCAGACTCCCTTGTCTTTGTCGGTAATAGCATTCTGCCTGTAGATACCCAGTACTACAGGTTGTCTAGTCCTGTGTCCTAACTAATCCTAACTTAGCCCTCATCGCCCTAGCCATCCTTGCCCTAACCCTCCCAGATTTTGGTGGTTCATAGTTCCGTGCGTCAACAGTTGTCGTATCATGCTGATCGCGTCCAACAATTATTTCTAGATGAACGTACAGTCCGCCCGGGATTTTACACGTTTCTGCGCATGCTGCAAGCACTTAGGTTTGCTGACAAGGAATCGTGGAACTCATCTCCTGACTGCACCATACAAGCCCCCAGTCTCAGTGTCACCAGCACTCTGCAGGTGCCCCTATCTCCGCTGATAGTTGGGCCGACCCAGAGTTGTCCTCCCTCTCCCCAAGAAGGTTACTTGTGCCGCTGAGCCAATGCGGTCCAGTGCTGGCTCTTCATCTGCATTGGTCCCGCACCAAGGAGTAGAGGGAAGAACATACTGATCAACAAGACACCAGATCGATGTTTGGGTTTCAGAAAGCTAGACAGAGTGCTGGACCCAATGTACAACGGGACGACTGAGGTCCGTAAGAACGATTGGTGAGCGTCCCCTACCATTATATATTCCCGATCGAAAACCGACAGGGCAACGGGCTCGTGGTCCAGTGGTTGGAGGCGTGGACTTCTAACTAACATGCCGCGAGTTCGAGCCTCGGGTGTTTCACACTTCTGGATTGGGTATGGCTGGCCGACGACGGCTAATAAGCCAGAAATGACCATTCCAGTCTCCCTTGTCTTTGTCGGTAATTACATACTGCTTATATCATGCGTCGCCTTGCGGCTGCTGGTTGGGCTCGAGAGAGAGCCCGTAAGGCACAAGGGAACGAGTGAGTTCCGTAAGAACGATCGGTGAGCGCCCCCTACCATTGTACTACTTTTCTACATAAAGGAGTTTCGGTGTGATGAGACCGGGAAAACTTAGGCGACGCGCATCACCCAGACATCGGAAGGCGATATTTATTTGTACGGATTTCAAGTGGATACAACTGTTGCAGAAATGACATGGCCTGAAACCACCCGTTTTATGAGTAGTCTGGAGGACTATTTCAGGAGGCGAGGTAGCTGTAAGCCGGTTACTTTAAATTATCTTAGATTTTCCATTAGGGATTGGGCTTATTGTGACTAACGTCGGAGTTAAATTAACGACTGGGACAAGAGAGACTGGAATGGACACTTCTCGCTTGATAGCCGGGACACCGAAAATGGCGGAGGGGCACTCACGAATCGCGTTACGGGACTCCCTCGTCCTGTTGCGCCTTGGGACTCAAGCTCGAGTCCCACCAGCAGCCACACCGCGGCTAACATCATAGGCAGAACAGTCAGGACGTTGGGCTTTTGGCCACCAGGTCGTGAGGTCGGTCCCCGGAATTGCACACCTCTGGGTTGGGTATGACTGGCTGATGACAGTTGACAGGCCAGAAACGGCCGTTCCAGTCTCTCTTCCCCTTGTTCTTAATTCATATTGACCCAACTGTGAAAAACCTGATGCATTGGTGGAATTCGAACCCACGACAGCAAGGGGAGGCTTTAGTACAGCCAGCGCTCTAACCATCTGGGCTACGAGGCCCCACCGGGCGACGCGAGTTTAATCATATCTGGGTCAGGTTACCCGTCCAACCTACTGCAACGTCTGGAATCCACCAAATCTGATACAATAAGTTGACTGCCCAAGCAGGATTTCCCAAGTAATTCAACTAGAATCTACCGGTTGGGTCATGAATTATTCAAAATCTGCCAAATCATCTATGAATTACGTGAGCCTGGTAGTCATCTGGTGGTTTCTAGGTGGATGACTTAGGAAATCGTGTTTGGACAAAGCATCTTGTTGCTAATGTCGTTCTGCTTATAATAATGGCTGCTGTAAGGCTGCCGATGGCGCTCGAGATTAGGCCCCAAGGCAGGACGGGGCGAGTGAGTCTCATAACGGTGAGCGTCTCTCGCCCAATGTCAGAGTTGGCATTTAGCTGTGACTTAGAGCCAGGCTCACGGCTTAATGTTAAGCTAGTGCTGGCACCCTAGCCGCAGCCGCTGCTGTGATGGCGCGCGAACATTTGCAATGTGCTCAGCCAGCCGTTAGGATTTTTCCTTCCAGATTCCCGTTAGGCTGAGGCTATCCTTTCAGTTGACTTGGTGGTGGTGGTGGTGGTGGTGGTGGTGGTGGTGGTGGTGGTGGTGGTGGTGGTGGTGGTGGTTGCAGTGGCGGCGGCAGCCATGGCTGTTTCCAATCCGTGATTTTATAAGGAGTCTATAACTGTTTCTTAGCAGAGATCTCCTTTCGTGGATGACTTTTCTAAAACGCTTCAGCTCAAGTCCCTGCTAGAGCTTCCGAAAGAGGCTAAGTACATAGTTTACTTGCAACCTTGCTTTGTAGCTGTCCTCTCGCAGGCCTCAGCGGCGCCGCTTTTCCATGTCGCTTTCAGTCAGCCTAGCACGTGTGACTCAATCCCCCCCCGCGTGCGACGCCCTGATGCCAATCGATATCTACCCCTTCACCGATTGGTCTATTGCACCTCGGCTGACACCTACCTGGCGTGAACGCTGGCTGTGATTCGTGTAAACTCTCTCGTCTCAGAAAAGGTTGACCATTTAACTGTCTTCCCTGTCTTTTGATTTGAGAGACTAAATGTTGACCATCCTGCCGAATTCAGTGGACTCGTATTTTTAGCGGCTAGGTGGAGCGGTGTGTAGTCTGTGCGCTACCATCGCCAGGTCAAATCAAAAGCTGTAAGGAGAAGACAGGAAGGAGGTACCAGGTTAAAGGGTTTATTGTACACAGAACCCGGAGTTCTCATCTCAGGCGACGGTGGCCATTGGCGAAGCCAGGGCTGGTGTTGACTGCGTCCAGTCATGCCTAAGAGTCCTTAGGACAGTGGTGGCAACCGCTTTTGTAGGCTCGTGGGCCAAGCTCAAGTGGTCTCCAATCGGCGTGTGTTTCATTTGCCGAGGGGTGGTGTCCCAGTGGCTTGGGCTGTGATTGCAGGGGGGAGGTGCGTCCATGTGACCGCATGGGCAGCTGCGACTGTGTGGACGCACGTATGTCCGAGCTGAAGTTGATCGAGCGGCCTCAGGCTACTGCAGGGCGTGAATGACCTTGGGACAGCAGAGTCCTGAACAATGACGCCAGACCGGCCATGATGGCTGCCCGCAACATATTCCTCAGACCGTCGGTTATTTGTGTCAGTCAGTTATGGGGATCGTGTGTTGAAGAACTGACACATATTGTATACATGGCCCCGAATATACTTTGCCTAGGTGAGCCGCCGTTGTGCTTAATCAGACCAGCAATTTCCAAAAGTTGCCTTCGCAATGTCGAGGCTGGGAGAACAGCCTGAGCTTTAGAGAAGAAGTAAACGCTCCGAAGTTAGTATGTGGTCTGCATAAACCCGACGCCGCCGCAGGAGGGCGTGGGATTATCGAGTTTGTCAACCAGACGCAATGTTGGAGATGATGTTTCATCTGAAAGGACGGACTGGTGGATGAGGGCGGTTTAGTCGGGCATCAGCCGGGCACCCTGTACCAATCACACTTTACCCTGTACCACAGTGGTCCGCGCGACTCTTCTGGTCGACACGGTATGGTGATCGCCCTATCGCAGCAAGCGGACCCCGCGCTACTTGCTTGGGAACCAGTCAGTGACCGGATGGCCTACGTGCGACTGAAGGGTCACTTCACGCACATCTCAATAGTCTCTGTGTATGCACTAACTTCGGCTGCCGAACAGCGCAATAAAGAGGCGTTTTACTCGCAGTTGCATGCGTTAGTTGAAAGACTACCTCGCCGCGATCTTCTGATTTTTGCTGGTGATTGGAATGGCCTAACTGGACCTGGCGACCCCACAACCAGTCATCTTCTTGGCCGCTTCGGGCGTGGTTCCCGATGTGAAAATGGTGAG